TAAAATACATAAACAATGAGGCTTGGACCTCTCTACCTTTAGGATGGCAGGAAGATACYGACAAAGTCCTATCTCATGTCAGAGCTCAGCATATGATACACATCAAGAGATTWTCTTCAGAGAGCTTCCTGAACATGCAAAGGACAAACACACCAGTGTTACCTAACTCCATTCCACTAAAGAAAGAAATAAAAAAAGGTACTTTCTAATCTGCATGCWCATTGCTTCTTTCTGAACCTCCACAACTAGCCAGGGTGTATCACTTGCAATCTGTTTCCCCTGACAGCTTCTGTTCTTACCTCCCTGCAGCCCTTTGCTTGCACGGGCCCACTCATCCAGTTGAGCCTCATTCTCACAGCTAGAGGCTTGCTCAGAAAGCTCAGCTCTTTCYGAAGCCAGAGTGGGCTATCGCTGCACATAAACAACAGGCGCTTACTTCTCTGCTGCTGGGTCTGCAAATCCATTTGGGAGGGAAAGGAGGTCTCAGCCTTGCAGCACCTACAAATGCACACATAGTATATTTTGSATAATCTCTCACCAGGAGGCAGCAAAGCAGCACTTCACCCTTCCTGTACACAGGAAGTAAGAAGTGCCCTGGGAAGCTGCCACGTGAAAAGTACTACATCTATSTACTCCAGCCTCCCACCACTAAAACCTTTTGGCACCTCCAAGCTCACGTCCTCGAGCCCCCAAAGAAGCAGGGCTCAGGGAACCGACTGGGCACAAGTGGGATCCAGAAGCTGGGGCCGAACTGCCAAGATTGCRTGGCTGGAACAAGACACAAGCTTTTGGCTGCTCAGAAATGTAACATAAATGGAGGTTTCATTAGCTATCACCACAGTGACAGCAAACCTGTATGTRCATGGAGACGCTCTGCATGGTAGAGGCAACCCCTCTGTCCCCCTCTGCTCCTCGTCACCTTCCTCGTCTAGCAACAAGGCTTCACTCACCTAGGGCACGTCCTCAAACTCCTGCTCCCCCATCCTAATGCAAGACCAGCAGGGCTACCTGCAGGCTGCCAAGAGAGCCCAGTGCAGAGGCCACTGCTACTGCCCGAGCTACAGCCAGGTCCCCAGGAAGGAGCAGGAGCCACTGGGAGCAGCAGCCTCTGGAGGAGACGGCCGAGACCCTGCGACTCTGCCCCACGGCAATCCTGCAGCACGCTTAACCACGGGAACCGCTGGCCTACAGCACGGGGCACATCTCAAACCTCTCCTCCTCCTCCTCCTCCTCCTCCTCCTCAGTTTGAGCTTCCAAGAAAACTGCTGCAGGAGCACCCATCCGCTCAGGGCTGACAGCACCACTCTGCTGAGGAAAGATCTAGACAGAATGTTGTATTTGCTTGGAGAAGAGGAACATGGTTTACACTGAAACCAGCATTTCCCAGGAAAGAACACTAACGACCTGCTCAAGGGCTACAGAGGCATTCTCTGCCCTTCCTGTTATCCCGGTGCTCCGTGCCTGAAAGGGCTGCCAGGCTCCCACACTACAAAAGGAAACTCGACTTTATAGTTTCACCATTAAGAAAGTCTTCCACAAACTGGGAGACCTGGATTTTGGTCCTGTTTCCAGGGTTTTAATATTAAATAGCCAGCGAATGAAAGCAGAAGTTGTACTGACAGCCACCGTCTGAATCCCTTGCTACCTGAGTGACCTAACCACTTGCTCCACAATAGAAAGTTCATAACACACCCATAAACTACATGGTATATGGCTCTTTTCAGCATACAAACATGATATTCCTTCCTATAAAGTGATTCAACTTCATCAGGCAGAATGAAGGTCTCCTTAGCTTGCTCTGGTCTTGTACCTGATTACAGGTTGGACGAGGAAATGGAAGACTCAAGTTTGAATCTCTTCACCTGAAGGAGGAATTTCACTTTTTTTTCTTCCCTGTTTCTTGGGAGAATAATTGTAATCACTCTCTCATTATGTAAGAGATTTTTTCATAACAAAAAACGTAGCAAAGGCAACATSTAAAATGTAAAGATTAGTGCTACCTGCAAGCACGTTATATAAGAGGTCAGAGACCTCCTCCCTCAGTTTSCAGGCACAGCAGAAAAGCGGAGGTTTTTCACTCACTGTTTTATATCAAGCACCGATATGAACACGTACCTGTGGAGTTCAGGTACAACTTATGCAAAATCCTTAGGTAAAGAGCATTATGATTATTTATCTCAACACGAACCAAGTGCATTTCTGCAACTGTAAACRGTAATTATGTATAACTCATTACCTTGTACAAATACATACTATCTCTGCAAAAAAGCATTCCTCCAGTTAAGCYTGCACCCTTCTTAACAGCTAATTGAATGGTGCACTAGACGGTACATTGTCTGCAAATGGCAAATTTTGAGTTATCCTCAAATTTCTCTTTTTTTTTCCTTTAAGATTCAAGTGGAGTAGGGAAAATCTGGAGCAGTTGCTAAATTACTTCTTTTAATTCCCTCTTTAGTATCGCAGGTCAACAACATATCCCTTGCAACTGCAACCCAAGAGTCCAGGATTGGCCAAACCCAGTCTTCCAGCTGTTTTAAAGATCAGCAAAGTGCAGTTTAGCATTAGGACCCCGTGCGTGTGTCTCCCACAGAGCCCCTGGCTACAAACCACGAGTGGGAGTCGTGCAGTAGGGCCAAGAGCAGAGGACCTGGGGGAAGCGGGCGCTGCACTTGGCCCGTGCTGTCCGTGTTGGGCCAATGGAGCTGGGATGCAGAG